ATGAATTGGTGGTCAGGAATAGCCTAGATATTTAAATTCCAATAAAGGAATAGGCAGTGGGTTCAAGTCTGTGTCCCCGGAATGGCCTTGTGATCCTCACCAATAATGGTCTAGGACCTGATTGTAGGTTCTGAGTCCCTGATGGAGGTCTGGGTCCTGGGAAGGCAGTTCGAGCCACGAAGGGACTTCTGGGCTCAGGGTCTGGCCTGGTATCTCACTTGGACATCTGGGTTATCGAATGGTGTTCTCACAAATGGAGACCTATACCCTTGATATAAGACTGGATTCTGTGTTTCAGACCTGAGCTTCTGGATAATCTTCTCGGACCTGCCATGATAGTCTTGGACCCCGATGGAGATCTGGGTGTCTGAGGGCAGTTCGGGCCCAGAGAGAAGGATGAGCTCCAGGGTAGGTCTGGTACCTCACCTGAACATCTGGGTTATGGAATGGTTGTTGGGGTTATACATAGAGATCTAGTCCCCTGATACAACTCTGTGTTTGAGGTTCCTGGCCTGGGCCCCCATTGGCCTTCTCTGCCCAGCCAGAAAGGTCTGGCACCCAGATGTAGGTCTGGGTGCTCAAATAAGGTGTGGTCACTAGGGGGCGCTATGAAACCAGGTGTGAGGTTTGGGTCAAGGGCAGGACCTCCAGATGATGAAATGGTGGTCAGGACTAGACTGAATATTTAGACTCAAATTCAGGAAGAGCACTGGCTTTCAGTATGGTTCAGGGAATGGCCTTCTGTTCCTCGCCATAATGGTCTGTGACAAATAGGTAGGTCTGAGCCCCAGACAGAGGACTGGGTCTTGGGAGGTTCTTTGAGGCCAGGGAGGGACGTCTGGGCCCCTGGGGGCAGTCTGGTACCTCACCTGGACATCTGGGTTATGAAAATGGTGGTCAGGATTACAAATTGAGAAATACACCCCTGATATAAGTCTGGATTCTGTGTTTGAGTCCTGGGCCCTGGGATAATCTTCTCGGCCCCACCATGATAGTCTGGCTCCTGGAGGTAGGTGTGAGCCCCAGGTGGAGGTCTGGGTCCTGTGAGGGCAGTTCTGGCCCGGAGGGAAGTCTGAGCCCCAGGAGTGGTCTGGTACCTCACCTGAACGACTGGGTTATGGAATGGTTGTTGGGTTTATGCATAGAGATCTAGTCCCCGATTACAAGTTTGTGTTCGAGGTTTTTTACCTGGGTCCAGGGTTGGCCTTCTCGGCCAGGCCATCATCAAGGTCTGGGACCCGGATGTAGGTCTGAGCCCTGATATACAATAGGTCTGGGTGCTCGAGCAAGGTGTGGCCAGGGGGCACTACGGACGCAGGTGGGAGGTTTGGGGCAAGTGCAAGCCTGGGATAATGAAATGGTGGTCAGGACTATCCTGGATATTTAGATTCCAATCAAGGAACAGGCACTGGCTTCCAGTAGGGTTCCCTGGAATGCCCTCTGGTCCTCACCCATAACGGTCTGCGACAAATAGGTAGGTCTGAGGCCTGGATGGAGGTCTGGGTTCAGGGAGGGCCATCTGGGCCCCTGGGGGCAGTCTGATTCCTCACCTGGACATCTGTTGAGGTTCCAGCTACGTATGTATACAAATACATATCTATCAACAAAATGAATCTAAAAATCAGGTGAGGGGGAGGATCCAAGATGGCTGCACAGGAAGTGCCCAACAGATCAGCTGTCCTGATCTTCCTCAGTTTCTGCTTTCAAAGTTGCCCCAAATAAAACACAACCTGTTCTGCTTATTATTAAAAAATAAGTAAATAAATAAATAAATCAGGTGAATAAAAAAATCTGATAAACAGAATAAATTAGTGAATATAATAGAATCATGGCTATAGAAAGGGAGTGGATTGACAATTCTCGGGAGGAAATGGTTGTGGGGGGTGTCGGGGAGTCCAGAGACTGGACAAAAATTGTACACTTATAGTTGAGGACAGTGGGCAGGGTGGGGGGGGGAGGAGGTAAGGGCAGAAGGTGTGGTGGGAACCAGGGGAAGGGAAGATATAGGGGAAAAAAGAGGAACAATTATAATAATCTGAACAACAAAGATTTATTCAATTAAAAAAAAAGTTTCTTGTGCCTTTTGACTCTCTGATGCCTACAATATTTGTCAGCTGGTTCTGCTGCACAGTTAGGTGTGGGACCAGTGTACCACATTAAGGTGCCTGCACATGTAGGAAACTGAAGTCCTGGAGGAAGATAAAAGCAAAAAAAGAAGAAGAAAATATACTTAAAAGGAAGAATGAGACCAGGAGAGTATTATGCTAAGTGAAATAAGCCAGCCAGAAAAAGACAAATAACCATATGATTTCACTTATATGTAGAATTTACTGAATAAAATGAACTAACAATCAAAAGAATAAACAGACTCATAGATAACAAATCGACAGCTGTCAGAGGGGAGGGATTGGAGGACTGGGTGAAAAGGTGAAGGGATTAAGCAAAAAAACCCAAAAAACAAAAAAACCTCAAAAACAACAACAGCATGGTGATTACCAGAGGGAATGGGGTGGGGAGATAGAAAAGGGTAAAGGGGGGATAAATCCTGATGGAAAGACTTGACTTGGGGTGGTGGACACACAATACAATAGGCAGATGATGTGTTATAGAATTGTACCCACGAAACCTACAAAATTTTATTAACCAATTTCATCCCAATACATTCAATTAAAAAATTTAAGAATGATTGGTCTTCTAATTCTCTCCAGATAAACTATGCTGCACTGACTACTTGTGGTGAGATAAGAGTGTATAGCAGAGAACTTTCTAGACCAAATCCACAACAACAAAATTTCTTCTAACATGGTTCTTCCTGAGCTGCATAGAGCTGAAGGATCCTGAGCAAAGCTGCTTTGGATGGAAAGGTGAGGCCACTATTGGTAAGCCGTGGGAGGAGGCTTGACTATGGGAAGGTGAGCTGAGAAAGGGGTAAGGCACTATTGCGAGGCCTCTTCCTCTAGGCAGACACTATTATACTTTGGTGCTTTTAACTTTCCTCCACTGCAGGAATTCATTAGCAACTTTTCTTAATCCGAAGTCCATTCCGGAAGGCTACCCTGGAGCAAACAGGTTCAGGTTGTGGCCCAGAAAACATTCGGATAATGAGGTAGAAAATGTAAACCCTAGCCCACACTGGAGATGATTAGGGCAGGAACTTTGTGCCAGCAGTCTGGCGACTAATTCTTGACTTAGCTTTGGCCCTGGTTTTACTACAATAGATAGTTTTTTCTTGATTGCCTTCTCTGAATTGTCTGTGTCCTGTGTACTTCTTGTAGATAGAGTGAGCAGTGTAGATGGTAGTAGTATGGTTTCAACACATACATTGTAATGAGTTAGCATGGCAAAAGTGGATTGCAAAGAAAATTCTGTCAAGTTTTAAACTGCCCCTCAATAGCTGTAATATCATATTGAAACCTGAATATATTCAGCCCTTGTATATTTCCTTTTCTGGCTTCGCTTCTTTTCTTTTTCTTTTCTTTTCTTTTCTTTTCTTTTCTTTTCTTTTCTTTTCTTTTCTTTTCTTTTCTTTTCTTTTCTTTTCTTTTCATTTCTCTCTGGTTTGTTAGATGTGACGTTTCCCTCTTTTCCTGAATGGTGAAGTTGTGAATGAGGGCATGAAGTTGTAAAAGAGAGACTCCTCTTATTTTCATGTCTTTTTATTTTTATTTTTATGAATCACCCATTTGTCTTCCTGGTGGATGTCTGCACTTCAGTTTCCTTATTTGTGATGTTAGCTACTCCTGGTCTGTGTGCTTTACTTCAAGAGGAAATATCTGGAGTAGAGCCATAAGACTGATTGGAGGAGGAAGAGACAGACGGGCAAAAGATGAGAGGAGTGTTGTGAGAAGAAGTGGTGATACAGGGCTGATGGCTGTAAATAAGACCAACTAGGTTTCTTCTTATTTGAGAAAGAATGAATTTGGGTTATGGCCTAATCTAAGAAGGCCCTGACATATCAGAGATAATCTTTGAAAATAACATCCTAGCCAGTTTGAGTTCAACAGACTAAATTAAATTTAAGTTACTCTTCATTTGTATTACCTCAATGCCCCTCCCTCCTGCCTTGGTTTTAGGGCTTTTAGCAGTGAAAAAATGCCTAAATTATAACAATAATAGATTTATTGAGCATCTCTCATACTTTTCCTGGAACATCCTACAAAAAAATAGAGTCCAATAAGATTTTCTCCTTAAAACAATCTCATGGGTTACTCTAATGAGAAAAAAATAGAACATTAAGACATTTTTTACACTTATTGTGATTTTAGAGGTGAAAGGGACTCTTAAGATTGTCTGGTTTCATTCTGAGATGAGAAACTGAGGTCCACAGTGAAGAAAAGACTTGCTGAAAGTCATTCAGATCGCTAGTGGTCGTGCGGATCCTGAGAAGCACAGGTGTGACATGGGGAAGGGGTGTCCCAGAATAGAGATGCCCATGTGTGATTTCTTGAGGCATCAGGGAAGCTTCTAAACCCATTTTTGTGCAGAGTCAATCATCAGTGGCTGCCTTAGTTACCTCTAAGCCTCTAGGCTGTGGCTAGGACACAGACTAGCCTCCTGCCTCCCCAAGATTATGTTTTAGAGTTTAGTCAGTCTGAAGTGAGTCTCACAGCTGGAGTTAACAAGGGTGTGAGATACTTAGGCTGGAGGTGGGGAGTCAGTGGGAGACACAGCTTAGTCAAATTTCAATACGACAGACTCTGGGAAGATATTTTAGGTTTGTGCTATGAAATTTGGCCTCTTGCAGTAAAATGGGGTTTGTTTCATTTTCACCTATATATCTGCCAGTTTCCTTTCCTAATTTCTCTGTGCATTCTTCTCGATTCTATCAGGCTCTCTCCCACTAACTATTCCTTATCTGTCAGACGCCCAGAGCTACCGTAGGTTTTAGGAGAAGGAATTGGAACATGAGCTGTGACCTAAAAGTCAATTTCCCCAGGTGGATAAACTCCACTGCAAGCCTCAGAGGGAGGGGCCTCCTCATTCCAGCAATCTGGCCGGGC